CATTAAGAAGCTTGGTGACTCAGCCTCAGGGACAGGAGGAAGACAGGCTCCCTGAAGTCCTGCTCAAGAGTCGGAGCCATTAAAGCAAGCTTCCTGTCAGGCCTTTATGTCCGCATCATTGCGAGAGCTTGTCCACCACCCCACGTGCTGTTCCGGCACTCCGTAAACACTTGGCCCTGCCGTGCCTTCTCCCACCCAGAAGGAACAGGGCTTGGGGGAAGGGCAGGGGTGGGCAGTGGACATTAGCTATTTTCTGCCCTGACCTTCAGCGACACACAGGATGTGGGAATCCAGCAGACTAGCTAATAGGATCCAGGACCCAGGTCTGCTCAGTAAGTGTTTATAGTGGACCCTGTTGCACTCAGGGCTCAAAGGCGGTGTTTATTAGCTACTCTTGTTTGCTCTCCGTGGATAAACTTCTCCCATCTCCCTGTTTTCTACATTAGAAAGTAGAGGTGGAGAGCCCGTGATCACTTGGGAATCACATGTCAGGGTCAAAAACTACAAATCACATCTGGTACCAGCTGTGGTCCCCACAAGGGTGACAGACACTGTCTCAGTGAAACCACCCCTGGACAGTTTCTCTAAGTTTTTGTTTTCAGGGCAGGCCCAAATTACTAAAGGCTGTTCTTACTCCTGGTTCTTGTTGTTTGTTAGTCCTTGATGAACTGCTGCAATTTACCGAGGCTTCGCTGTATAGGAAACCAGAGAAATCCAGGTCTCTATACGAGGAGAAAGAAGCAGTACTTGTGATCATGTACAGCAAAACAGGAAAGAAAAGCCACCATATAGGACTAAAAAGATTTGGTTTTATGCTTCCTCCTTACAGTCACATTGCTGCTTATTTGTAAAAATAATTCCACTCATAAAGTTACCCAGCCATTAGTGAGTCAGAGCTGTTCCCACTAATTGGGGGGCCCATGTGGAAAGGAACATAGAGTAATGGGCCAGGTGCCCTTGACTCCTGCTTCTGGTTCCTTCACTGACTTGCTGTGTGGCCTTAGGCAGTGCCCCTTAATCTCTCTGGGCCTCACTTTTCCCCAGGAAGAAAATTTCCCACTCGTTCTTCTTGGGAGGATGCTGAAAGATCAAAGAGGTGATGTTTGCAGAGCTTTAAAGATGCCCAGGTGCATTAGAAAGGCCTTGATTTAATAGGTATTAATTAATAAATCCTTTGATTATTGATAAACCAGTATGTTAGCTTTTAATTAGCTCCATGGGCTTCAGTGGTCACAAAGGTCATGCAAAATCATAAAGGAATTAGCTGAGCCATAATGATTGTGTGTGTGTGTGTGTGATGTGTCTTCATGTGGATTCACAAAGCACATCAATGACTTTAACTGGTAGCTGGGTTAGGACAGCTGCAGCAAGCCAGGGAGGCTCTCTGAAATGACACAGATGATCTGGAGCCGCCTCCAAAACCGGCACATCAGAGCTCAGTGGACCCTGTTTACAAGGAGGAGGCAAGGTCGAACATCTGTTTGCTGCTTGTACTCTGTCAGCTTCAGAGTGGAGGGTTTAGCAGGCTGGACCTCTGAGCTGTGGGGCACAGGGACCTGGGGACAGAAGAGCCTAGCCCTTCAGGAAGGGACAGTGCATTTACAGCAAGGGGTGAAGGCCCTAGTGGCCAACAGCTGCCTGGATGCACAGGGAGGTCGGGGGAGGTGGAGAGATGTTTAGCTGCCATCGTACCCTGGCCCCTAGCCCTTCCCATTGCCGCCTGCATGAGGCGAAAAGGATCAGGCTAGTGTTCCCACATGAGCACCTCCTCTTCTGTTCCTGGAACCCCATTAATGCCCCAGTGCAATTCTGTCCAAAAACACCTGTCCATTCATTCACCTCGCTCCCACCCTCCCTTCACAGTGTTTGATTTGCAAACAGACTCCCTGCTTAGAATAGACCTGAAGGAAAGCTCCCGCTCTGCCCCTTGTTAGAAAATGTCCGCAAGCATATAGCATCCCAGAGAGATGCCAGGAGCCAGGCCACCAGGGTCCGTGCCGGGAGCAGGACCACAGCTGAGCCCAGAATTATTTTTACAAATGAGCAACAATGTGACTGTAAGGAGGAAGCATAAAACCAAATCTTTTTAGTCCTATATGGTGGCTTTTCTTTCCTGTTTTGCTGTACGTGATCAAAAATACTGCTTATGTTGGGGCCCATTGGCAGAGTGGGCAGGAGTGAGGCTCTCCACACACAGCACCAGCAGCTGGGAGCCCCTCAGGGGAGGCTCTGCTTGCCTTCTGCTTTACAAGGAGAGGGAGAGAGGAGGTGCCAGGGCACCAAGCCCTCTGAGCATGGGTTCTGGGTTTCTCCGCCCAGTGGGAGGGGGCACCACGCGAAGAGCCCAGGTGAGGTGTTCAGAAGCACAGGTTTGTCTTCTTTCCTCATGACCGGGAGGAGAAAGCCCCTGGAAGTCCCCCCATCAGATTCCGAGAAGGCCCCTTACCCTAAGTGCTGCCCAGCCCAGGACTGAGTCTGGGGCCCCAGCACCAGCCAGGACCAAAGACTGGGACCAGCAATACAACTTGCGGGGCCGCTTGATCAAAACTTAGTGGGCTGGAGACAGCAGAACATCAAAGCAAACACTGGGCTCTTCTGAGCACGTATCATCACACACACATGAAGCGGTCATGGCCAAGATGGGTGTGGCGCAGGGGCCAAGGGTCCCCCTGAGGGAACAGCCACCTGCCCTCCACCCCATTTTTCAGAGAGGAACAGGAGGTGGGGCAGGGGAGTAATTCTGTACACTTCAGTCCAGGATTTCCGGCATGCGAATAATCAAATTTTATTTTTCTTAAACCCTGATGTCAGCTCTTGAGTTCGGAAATTTAAGGAAAACATTATTTTGGTTATTCTCTGTTATTTGCCAAGATTTGGAAGAAAGGAGAACAGTTAGGAATCACATTAGGATGAAGTTCATGGAGCACTTACTTTGTGCTGACACCGTGTGGAGGATCTGTTGCTTCTACCTTGGAGGGGCGTTATTGCCATTTTATAGATGGGGAAAGTGAGGCTCGAGGGGTACGGTCACTTGCCTAAGGTCAAACAGCTTGGATGTAGGGGACCCTGTATTCACACAGATGCAGTCAGACTCCGCGGTGTGTGTGCCTGGCCACTGTGTCCTACATATTTACTACCTCCCGTTTAGGAGGTCAGTGTCTGGGGTCTGTTAGTTCTGGTGTTTTTGTGTCTGTGGCTAAGTTCAGGTGTCTATATGTCTATAAATATCTATGTCTATAAATGTCTATAAGTAACAACAGGGGAGAGGGTTAGTCAGAGAGGAACTTAAGGTATATCATTGAAGGATTGAGCTTAGCAGAGCATCCGACAGGAGCGTGAGACTCAGATCTGTGACTTGAGTAATGGCCTCTACTCAGGGGGCATTTCATCCGTGACCTCACAAAGCTGTCTGAGCCAAGGTAGGGCTGTGGGTCACTCGCTTGCCTTGAAATGTCTCTCTCTCCCCCCCACTTGGAACCAACGCTAAAGGAAAAAGAAAAGCACAGTTTTCCTTGGGCTTCAGAGCAAAATGGTCTTTGAACGGTGGACCAAAGAGTCGTAGGAGTAGATGTCCTCCTCCCTATTATGCAGACAAAATAATTGTAACGTTCAGCAGAGCAGGTCGTGAAAAGAAAAGAATGCAGCTATTCTTGAAAGAGTTTTTCTTCCAGCCCAGTTTGACAAAGGGGTGGAGTCCTTTGGCCAAGCCCTGACTAGCTGGCGTGTCTGGGTCTGGAAGGGCAGGGTTGATGGGGCACAGGGAAATCGCTGTCACATCTTTTAAGGAGACAAAAACTGGGGAGGTCAGGGAGTGTCAGGAGCCCCAGCTGAGAGAATTCTGGGGCTAGGAGGAGACCCTGAAAAGCATATGCCTCAATGCAGTGCGCAGAGAACGGGAAGACCCCAGAGAGGCATCAGCCGCTCCCAGGATGAAGAGGAATGCAGGATTCCCATTTTACCCTACTTTGGGCAAAATCAACTCAAGTTCTAGGTGTCTAGAAGGGGCTGTGGAATGTATCAAATGTAAGCATAAATAATAGAAATACAGGCGTGTGTGCATACAACTTTAACCTCTTTTGACATTTTCCAGAGGGTTCAGTAACTTTCTTCCGATGAAAGGACCCCCCCCTCCCCCCGCCGGGAACGGCTGCCCTAATCACTCCCAGACCCTGCAGTCAGTTTCTTCGTTAACAGACTCCCTCCTGCAAGGAGGGGTGCCCACCAGAGCCTGAGGGCATGCATGGGGCAGCAGCAGGAACTCGTCACCCCCACTTCGCAGAACTGCCTCATTTCTACCTCCCCCCTCTCTGATGGCAGCCAGCCCCTGGCGGCAGCATCCTGCCAGCCGGACTCTGGATTTGCTTTGTGCTGCAGAAAGAAGCCGGGGCTTGACAAGCTCATATTGTTATCTCGAGTTGCCTGCCCCGAAATAAGGTTCCAGCAGCCCCCGCCCTTCGTGGGGAAGCTTCCCGAGCCGGATCGCCAGGGCGAGTCCGAGCTCTTCCACATTAGTGGGCAGGAAGTGGAGTCCCGATGGGAGGCTGGGAATTTGACCGCCTTCCCATTTCAGCACTGGAGGGAGGAAGCTCAGTTGAGCGCTGCGCAGACGGCTCCCGCTTCCCTCCTAGAGCGGCCCTGCTCCCCGCCCGGCGGCCCGCCCTCCTAGCGCCCCCGCTCGCCCCCTCTCTTTGGAGGGAAAAGTCCGCGGAGCTGGGAACTGTCTCGGTCTCGGATAATGCAACAAAGGCAAAGCGGAGGGGACCAACTTGAAAAGAATTTGTTTTGTTCCCGTTAAGAAACCTGCAGGAAAATCCACACCCGCAGTGGAGAGCGGCGTGTGTGTGTGTGTGTGTGTGTGTCTCCAGCAAGAGGCGGAGGGTGTGCAAACAACTGTGCAGCCTCTGATAAGGAAGCGGCTAGCTGGAGGATTTAAGCAGTAAAGAGGACGGGAGCCCTGAGCCAACCACTCCTGAACGTAAACCGCATTGTTTTCTGTCCAGATATTCCAATGGAGACAGTTGGAAAACCTGTATTTCAGAGAGAAGAAGTTTTCCGTGGAAGTTCATGACCCCCGCAGGTAAGCTAGAAAAGTCCTTTCCTTCTGGGAGTGTGTGGCCCAGCCGGCATGTTCGTCATATGACTATTTTTGTGTTGTTCGTTTTGGGGAGCGGGAGGAGGGTAGTTGCCTGTGGGGAGCATACTCCAATCTGACGGTGAAGCTTTGTTTTCTACTAAATATGTTGATAGATGCGGAGGGTTCAAGCGTGCTTTGTGTGTGCGTGCGCGAGAGGAATGGGCAATTCCGTGATTCTCTCCTCTGGCTACATGTGTTCGGTGCTCGTGTGTGGTGTTGTCTTCGCATGCCGGGGCATTCGAGGGCAGATGGATGGCACCTGGTGACAAACACCACTCTAGACTGGGTAGTGGTCCGAGTCCTTTCCGGGAGCTTGTGCCAGAGATGAGTCTGAAGGATGGCTCGTCAGAGCTTCTGAGAATGTTTCAGGGAGGACAGTCGTCTCCGAAAGGAATCTAGACTTAAAGCAGTTGTGTGAAGTTGTTTGATTCCAGGAGCTGTAATTTTCAGGTGTCAGTGTTGTGGGTGGATGTCGAAAGCAAGAGAGTTCTTTTTCTCCCCATCTCACGTTGTGTCCCGGGGAGCACTAGTGTGAAAACCAGGGCTAAGTCACATGCCCAACAATAGGGTCCCTGTTTGGAATGCAGCAAGCCCTGCGTGGAAGGTTCTGGAAGGTTCTCAGGCAGCACATCCCGGCTGCTTTTCCTCTCTTTGTCTGCCGGCAGGTCCTGGACTTAGAGGCAGCTCAGAAACAGCAGCAAAACTCCCTGAAAACAGGCCTGACACCTAAGGATAAATTGCTTTCAGTAGGTCCAAAGTAGATTTACAAGAAGGTAGCCCTAGGAAGACAGTGAAAAGGTCAGACCCTATAGAGGAGCCAACGGGACAGTTAGGCACCGTTGATGCCCCAGCCCCCCTCACACATGGCCTCTGAGCAGCCAAAACAAGCCTCTCTGCCTCCCAGGGAGCTCTTAGAGACCAGGACGCTGGCCCCCCTGTCGGAGGGCCGAGCTTGGGCAGTGTCCCTGCTCCTGCCACCAGCGATAACCCAGCAGGGGTGACAGGCCACTCTGCCCCGCCGTGTAATCTGCGTGAGACAGCCACTCCGCGGAGGGGAAGAGCTCGGCCCACACCCCACAGCCCCCACACGACCAGCAGGTGGAGAACATTGTGGAGACCCAGTGTGCAGTCAGATGAAGGCGGTGACGTTGGCGGAGTAATGACTTGGCCAGCGTTTCTCGGGGTCCTGCGGAGGGTGTCGGTCTGGAGACCCTGCCTCTGCAGAGTGGGAACCCATGTGTGCGGGGCCCGGTGAGGGAGAACCAGATGCTGAGGATGATACTCCAGCCGAGCTTTTCCAGGTGAACCGAACCAGACCAGTCTTAGAAGCGTGAGGGGAGGGAATTCTGTGTGTGAAGAGTGAAATGCATATTGCCACAGTGGGTCAGATGCAAAAAGGGGCTGCCTAACAGAATGAAAACTGGGGATTGGATCATCGAAGGGGCTGTGCCTCAGGACCAGAAAGAGGTCCTGCTAGCGTCCTGTTCTACGTGGGGGGAAACTGAGGCACCCAAGAAACAAAGTCACCTGCTCTAGGTTATAAAAAGCTGGCGGGTGGTCCAGGAAGGATTTGAACCCAGGGAGCCTGACTCCACAGCTCACAGGCATCCCCGCTATGCTCCATGCAACACACTGGGGCACGAGCGCCGGATGGAGTGGACCGTAAATACTGAAGGTGGCCAGAAGCCAGGCTGGTTGGGACAGGTGCCTGAGAAGGAGGGATTCTGAGCTGGACCTCAAAGCACGACTAGGATTTCGAGCTGAAGGCCGGTCCTTGGGTGGGGGGGCGGGGAGGGAAGAAGACTTCGTCAGGTGGGTGTCAGAAAGAGGGAAGGGAGGTGCTAGAGGCAGGTGGAGCGCAGAGTGTGATCACATCTCCCCGGGGAGAACAGCCCTCTACCGGCCTAGAGGCAGGCAGGCAGGCGGAGAGGGCACGGGGGAGGAAGGCCAAGGGGGTGTCTGCCCTGATGCTTTGAAGACACCTTTTCCGTGTGTGCACTGAGGCAAGCAAAGGGGATTGCTGCAGGTTAGCTACCTGGCACAGTGCCTTTGCTCTGCCCCGAAACCTCTTCCCTTCCCACGGCCGCAGGGCGCTCCTTCCATTACCCGCCCCGCCCATAGCTGTCGCCGTGTTATTTGGAGCAGGGAAGACCAGTCTGGCTGACTCTACGTTGGGGTGGTCCCAGCCAGGAAAAGGGGGTCAGAACCGAAGTGATGGGAGGGCAAGTGAGGAAGAGAATCATGTGCTGAAGAGGCCACCGGTGGGACACGGCGGGGACTGGGCATCAGCCCAGGCAGAGGGCGCGGTGTGTCCTGGGTGGCCTGGTCCCGGGTGGGACCATAGAAGGTAACCTTGGATCTGTGTTCCTGTACATGGACCCCCCAACTTGATAGCCACATGGGTTCTGTGGTTCTCCGGGCTTGGCAAATACTCCGTTTCTAAGGTTTAGGCAAAACAGAAGTCGGTGGGGTGGGAAGAGCCTGAAGGGAAAGATGCCGAGAAGAGATAAATGAATGATGGAGCAGGAGAAAACTCCCAGTGTCTGATGTGGTGTTCCTGCAGAACCTCCTAGACCTGGCCAACCTCCTGAACCCTTCCTCCCTCGCCTTCCTTACAAACACAAGCACCTGGCCCCTACCCACTCATGCTTTCACTCAGACACACGCCCAGTTACTTCTCCTTTCTAATTCAGCTTTTCTGGGAGAAAAGATTGCACTTATTCCCAGGAGCAGCCACGGGTACAGAAGCCAACGTGGGAGTTCTGATCGGTTTCTTTTTACTTCTACAGAGATCAGTGGGGTGCTCCTCCTAACTCTTTTGCTGGCTCCCTCCCCATTATTTTCAACCATGTTCTCTCCCATGAGCTGACGTTTTCTCCTAACTTAACTAAACGAGGAATTACTGTGCCTAGAATCAGTAGGATTAACGAGCCACCAGATTTGAATTTCTCCCTAAAGGTGGGTCTGAAGAAGACCCTCTGTTCAGTCTTTAGCCCCCAAGGTAAACTGATGGGAACAGCTCTAGATTTTCTTCCAGGGAAAATGTATCATTAAAAAAAAAACGGTTATTCATGAGTCCTGATGACCCAGGTTTCTTCCAGATTAGGTATCTTAAACCTGAGAACACACTCTTCTCTCCTGATGCTCATATCAGATACCCTGGGCCCCACCCCAGTACCTTGCCGTGCACGCGCACGCACGCACACACACACACACACACGCGTGTGCATGCAAACACATGTTCTCAGATTTCATTTGCAAAATCATCTGCCTAGCCTATGGAATACACTTCATGGAAAGCATGATCCTGTCACTCTTTTTTTTTCCCCCGAACATCATGGATGTGGTGAATTATGTTGGAACCCACATTTCCCACTTTTCGTTGATTTTCATTGATTGCCTCCGTGTACCCCAGATAGATATATGCCCTAGCTGCTCCATAAACGTGTGTCACTGGGGTAGTGCGGAAGATTGGCTGCACTGCTTTCTGTCGTCCCTTTTTTCATTTCTTATACCCTGCCTGCCGGCGACTAAATCTGAGATTGATAACCAGCTCTTTCAAGGAGCACTGAGTTAGAGCAGTGTGAGAAGTCTGGACTCCCTCGGGACATCCCATGGGCTGTGGCCTATGCTGCTGATTAGAACAGAATTTACTTATCCTTCACCATAGGCAACATTGCCTGCTTAATAAAGGACATTGTCCAAGGCTTTTCCTGTTTCTGAAGTTTGTCTTGGCCCAGTGCCAGGAGCTGAAGCTCAGAAAGGACCATCCAGTGACCTAGAATGACCCATCTTATCCCAGACGAGGCAGAGGCTTGGACAAATGCTGAACCCTAAGGAGCCAATAAATTTAAAAAAAATAGCATTATTCATGATAGCCAAAATATGGAAACAACCTAAGTGTTCATGGAGGGATGAAGAGATAAAGAAATGGTGATGTGTATATGTACAATGGAGTATTATTCAGCCGTAAGAAAGAAGGCGGTCCTGCCATTGGCAGCAATGTGGATGAACATGGAGGACATTTATGCTAAGTGAAATAAGCCAGATGCGGGCCGGGAGGAGAGGGGGGGAAGAACTGCATGATCTCACGAATATGTGGACCCTCAAAAGTCAAATATGTAGAAGCAGAAAGTAGAAAGGTGGTTACCTAGGCCAGGGAAGAGAGGAAATGGGGGGGATGTTGGTCAGAGGTACAAAGTTGCAGTTATATAGGAACAATAAGCCTACAGATCTAAGGGACAGTGTGAGGGCTGTAGTTAATGCTGTACTGGATGGTGGGAATGAGCTAAGAGAGTAGATCTCAGGGGCTCTCATGACAGATACGTGAAAACATGATCTCTGCTCATTAGCTTGACTAACAGTCATTTCACTATATATATATATATATCAAATCCTGTTGCACACCTGAAATTTGTAGAATTTTTTCAATTTAAATTCAAGTTAACATTGAGTTTAGCACTGGTTTCAGGAGCAGAATCCAGTGATTCATCACCCACGTGCAACACCCAGGACTCATCCCAGGTGCCCTCCTTAAAGGCCCATCCCCCATTTAGCCCACCCCCCCACCCACCTCCCCTCCAGCAACCCTCAGCTTGTTCTCTATTTTAAGAGTCTCTTATGGCTTGCCTCCCTCTCTGACTTCATCTTATTTTTCCTTCCCTTCCCCTATGTTCATCTATTTTGTTTCTTAAATTCCACATGTGCGTGAAATCATATATTTGTCTTTCCCTGACTTACTTCACTTAGCATAATACACTCTCGTTCCATCCACATTGTTGCAAATGGCAAGATTTCACTTTTCTTGATCACCAGGTAATACTCCATTGTCTAAGGAGACAAGGGAAACAAAAGCAAAAATGAACTACTGGGACCTCATCAAAATAAAAAGCTTCTGCACAGTGAAGGAAATAATCAAAGAAAGTAAAAGGCAACCGAGGGAATGGGAGAAGATATTTGCAAATGACGTGTCAGATAAAGGGTTAGTTTCTGAAATATATAAAGAAATATAAACAATCCATTTAAGAAATGGGCAGAAGACGTGAATAGATACTTTTCCAAAGCAGACATCCAGATGGCCAACAGACACATGAAAAATGTTCAACATCACTCATCATCAGGGAAATACAAATCAAAACCACAATGAGATACTACCTCATACCTGCCAGAATAGCTAAAGTTAACAACTCAGGAACCAAAGGTGTTGGCAAGTTTGTGGCGAAAGGGGAACCCTCGTGCACTGTTGGTGGGAAGGCAAGCTGGTGCAGCCGCTCTGGAAAACAGTGTGGAGGTTCCTCAAACAGTTAAAAATAGAGCTACGCTATGACCCAGCAATTACACTACTAGGTATTTATCCAAAGGACACAAAAATGCTGATTTGAAGGGCCCATGCACCCCAGTGTTTACAGCAGCAGCGTCCACAACAGCCAAATTGTGGAAAAAGCCCAAAAGTCTATTGACTGATGAATGGTTAAAGAAAATGTATACGATTTTTATTAAACAGTTAAAAAGATGGCCTTCGCTAGCTAGTTTCCCTAAGAGTGTGTGTGTGTGTGTGTGTGTGTGTGTGTGTGTGTGTACGTACGTACGTTCATCTGTCCCATTTATGCAACGGCTTTTAGACCCCAGGGGGATCTCAGTAAAAGCGGTCAGACAGTCACTGGAGTCCCGCATCATCAACATGGTTGAACCTTGTGATTCCTGCCATCCTAGGGCTTCAGTGACAAGGAGGACATTTGGACACAGCGGCATTGCAGTGCATACGTGGTATGCATGTCCGGCTTTGATCAAGTCCATTTGGGCTATGGCCATTAGCCAACACCAGTTCTATCTGGACAGAAAGCAGAGTAAGGTAAGTCCTTCTCCGGGGCTGGGACTCCACAATGACCAGCCCTTTGGCCACACCACAGGCTTACCTGAGGGCACGCGAGGGCCCGTGTCTCCTAGCTGAGGGATTGGGAATTGGGTGGGTGGGGGCGGCCCCGTGTCCCTTGCCCCGAGATGTGCGCAGGTACAGACTTTTCAGAATTATGGGAGGGAGGAAGGAGACGGGCTCTTCCAAAGGGCACGTTCCACGCGACTTGGTTAAGGGGCTCGGGCCCAACCACGGTTGTGGCTCTCAAACCGTTTACTGTAGCCAGGTAGGGCCCTTTTGAGGAATTCAGAGCATGCTTCTGAACCTCAGGAACCTCTCCCTGGAACAAGCCGTCAAGCTCTGTGTGGTGTTTAAACAGTGGCGTATTGTTTGCTTTTTGAGAGAGGGGAAAAAAAAAAACAACCGTTTGCAATTAATAGACACCATCTAACTGTTTAGGATAATTGCTGTGAAAGCGCTTCAGGCTTTTCCAACTGCCACATCCATTTTTTTTGAAAAGTCAGAACTGGAAACATTTAAAAAAAAGCAACAGCACCCAACCCTGTTTCCCTAAGGTAGCCCTGGAGCCTCAGGCCTTGGTAAACAGTCATCCTCCAAGGGAGATTTGACCCAGCCCCAATGCAGACACGCAGGTGCATTTTCTGGCGGGTGGGAGAATGACGTCTCCTTGGTTCACACACAGCTTATATCAACACTCGGCCCCCTCTCCCTCCAGCCCCTGTCTTCTGTGCTGCCTTGCATTTCCCCCCCCCCCCCCGCAACGAGCCATTCTCATTCATTAGGTCTCTGCTGAAGAGCCCCATCAGGATGGGTCTTGCACCTTTCCCAGGATCCTGCTGGCTTGGGGAGGAGGGGCTGCAGAGCTATGGAGGGAGCCGGGCGTTGGCCCCTGGGAAGTTTTGTCCCATCGTGTGGGTTCTCGGGAGGCGAGCAGGTGGCCAGACCCAAGATTCATCAGATCGGTGCCCTCTTGGATCCTTACAGCTGCTGCTTCTGTCTTATTTTCCGTCTGGATGGGGTTGCTCTTTCCCTGGCTTGGGAAGGGGAGTGGAAGGAGCGGCCTGGGGTCTGGTGGAAGGAAGGAGAAAGATCGTACGAAAATAGGAGAAAAGGAAACAATCTCTCAACTCATAATTCAGTTGCAAATCTGAGCCCTTCCTGGGTAGCTGTCACTTTCTTCTCTGTAACACGTTTTTCTCCTCTGCTAAGTCTTCTTCATGACCCCTTTTTTGGTCATTTTCTGGGGTGAATGGGCACAGAGTGGAGGGGGTTTTTTTTTTGTTGTTAGGCATAATGGGAGCATTCCACAGCTTTCCTGGTGATGATGGACATTGGCACAGGGATTTGAAGCCCGATTAGATCAAAAGAAACAGGGCCAAAGCGTTTTGAGTCATGCTGTAGATTGAGACAGTAGGTGGGTGTCAGCATTTTGCCCTCGGGTCTCGGGAGTTGGAGGTCCAAACCTTAAAATATCGATTCCATGCTCTGCATTGTTTGGGAATGGGTAGTAAGGGGTAGAGACCTTGGCAGCCCTCCTGAACCCCACTGCCAGTTCCTCTTGTGGGCAGACCCCACACACATTGACAGCGCAATTTTGAAAGGAAAAAAGACAAAGTGTATCTCACCCTTAGGTTAGTACATTAGCGGTTTGAGATCTTCCCCTCCCATCCCCAACCCCCATGCTCGTTCTTTGCATTGAGGGTCTCTTGGGCAATGCAAGAGGCCGTTTAGCAGGGCCTTCTTCCCCGTTCTCAAAGATGGTCTTAGTCTGCAGTTGGAGAAGCCTTATTGGCCAGGTTTACAGGTCAGCCCTCTGATGCAACAAGTCAACTTCAAAAAGTAATTATCAAAGATCATTTATTAGCAGGAAGTGTCTTTTAAAAGGCCAAAGCAGGAGCCCACAGCAATAGGGAAATTTCAGCCATCCTTCTCGGTGACCCCTGGGGGATGGAAGGAAATACACATCCACCCAGGAGCAGGAGAACTTTCCCCCAGTAAGCTCTGAATGCTCACGGATGCTCCAGAGCCCTTCCACTTCTCGTAGGGACCCATTCCTCAACCCACAGTGGCAGGTGAGCAACAAACTCTCCCACGTGGAAGTCCAGGGACTCCATTTCCAGTTCCATGACCCTGGGCAAGTCTTTCGTTGCTCCTGCTTTGCGAGAACAAGAAAGAAAATACGGAAATTATTGATTGGCCTGATGACACAGTGTGTGTGAAATTGCTTTAAGAGATTTGTGCTATCTTTTATCATCATCATTAATCCAACATACTGTTCCCCGGCCAACACTTGTGTAAAGGTTAAGTTCTCTCAAAGTTTCCCAGATGAAGTCAGAGATGATAAAAGTCCCCTTAGGAATTACGTTACGACACCTTTCGCTTCTGGATTGTCATTCTCTCTACAAGGGTGATGTGATCCGTCTCTGATGGGCAGAATGACCTCTGGTGAGTGACGGCTGAGAGGCCTGGGATGGGCTGCAAAATATTTCTGAGTAGCCGGTGTTGGCTAGCATAGGGGCCATTGCCCCACACCCTGCTGCACCGGGCCATGCCATCCATTGCTTTCTCTGAAGTGCTTCGGCAAAGCCCAGGCCTCCCAAGTGATGCTTATCAGCCCCAGAGACAAGTGCGGTCTAGTGGTCTGAGTCAGCAGGAGTGGGTGGGCCGAGCAGTCTCAGGCTCTTCCCGGGCACTCAGGCATTTTCCTCTTTCAGGACCCTTGTGCCAATCCTGTAAGAACAGCATCTCTCTCTCTCTCTCTCACACCAACACCTTCCATCACCAAAGACAACAGAAGGAGCCCCTACTGGTTGGTTTCCTGCGGCTCATGCAGGATGAGAGACTGTGCAGGCACTGATTACAACTGGTAACTTATGTTTGCTGACGCCAAGGATCCCAGCAACCTCTGGAGCCCAGAACCCGGAGCTAAGGAATGTCTTGTGGACTTGGGAGGAAAATAGCTGAAAGCTCAAATTGTTGAGAGTAAACATCAGACACCTCTCCTCTGAACTCAGAGTGGGGACTTCTCAAGTTGGCCTCCAGTCCAGACATTTCCTCCTCCTCGTTTTTTTTTTTTTTTTTTCCAATCTCTCTTCTGTTCTTCATTCCATCTAGTTCAGAAGCAGAGTGACAGCATGGTAGGGGACAATGCAACCTTGCTTGTGAGATAACAGTAATAAAACTCAGTAGGGCAAGACCCTCAAAGCGCAATGTTCAGAATGTCGGAGGCTCTTTTGGGTTGTCCCAAAGACTCGACTTTTTGAAGAAAAGAATCTCCCCGTCTGTACTCATTCCTTTTAGCATCGCTCTCTGCACTGGGTCTTTTTGGTCATTGTCCTATTTCCATTTGGAGAGAAGCTAGTTATTTCCTAAAACTTCAAAGAATCTAGTCTCCCTTGGGAAGGATAGCTGTTGGTCCCTTTTCCCATATTTCGGGTTTTGCCTCTCAGACCGATGTGTGGCAGGAGTGGAGGTGGGGTAGGGCCAGGTCTTCCGTGTGATTGAGATTCCCCCAAGTACCAGGTTGAGTCATCAGTCTTACCTCCTTTAGCAAATTACTTCCAGGACCTGATTTGGATCCTGTTCCTATTTCAATTCCAGTGGCCTTGACATTATATTATCTAATTTAGTCCTTATCACAACTCTGCCATGTGGGTTTTAAGAGCTCCATTTTACAAGCAGGGATCTGAGTATCAGACAGGTTGAAGGTCATGGCCAAACAGTGGTGAACTGGCCAGAGCCCAGATTCCAGTCCAGATCTTTCTGACTTCAAAGCCTGGGCGCCTCCCCACCACGCTGAGTTGTTCTGTGTCTCCATGAGTCATTAAGTAGCTGCAAGCGACAGCTCTTTTTATTCGAGCGTGGGTGTTGGTAAAGAAGAGTGCTGCAGAAAGTAATGGGTGTGCTCCCTCTGCTTGCTCAGAGGGTAAAGCTCAACCAGATGGGCCCTGTGGACATGCGCTGTCCATGCGAAACAAAAGGCACTTCTTGCTTCTGCCCCCCCACCCCCACCCCCAGCCAGAGTGCTGCGGGGGGCCCCGGTGGCCGGGGTTATGTCCTGAGCAAGGAGGCCCTGACCTGAGGAAGGTGACCTGGATCTGAGTGCAGGGACATTCAGAGTTGAGGTCAGAAAGGAGACATCGGTCAAGGAAGGACCAATGAGGTGATTGTTCATACCCAGAGAACAAAACAAGCAAAACACTCCATGTATCCTCGATCCTAGACTCTTTTATAATAAGAGGAAAGTGCTCAGCTGTTGGAAGACAGGGTCCTTCATCAGTGTATGCATCAGTGTGGAGGCCAGAGGAAGGGCAAGGCCATGGGGGTTCAGAGAGCCTCTGCTGGACAGCACAGGGCACCTGGGCAGAGACTGTCAGGAAGAGAATGGGCAGCGTCTACCCACCCACTGTGGCCCCCGTATCTGCCCTCTGCCGGCTTCTCCTGTGTGGGGGGACAGACTTGGTCTCCCACACAAGGGTGTGGGGGCGGACACCCATGAAGGGACTGAAAATCTCGGTTTAGGACATCACCTAGTTCCATCGTTGTATGGGCTATAGCCAATGGCCACGGAAAGAAACCTCAGCAAATGTAGGGGTTCTACTAGCATTTATAGTGATTTTCATTAAGTTCATGCTGTGGGTAAAGCCTATTTATTGCCTTAAGCATGATCACAAAAATTGATTTCCTGAAGAAGGGGGGGGGGGAAGAGCAAACATCAAACACGTGTAGGCAATGCAAACCCATTTTCATCTACTGAGGGCAGTAACTAAAAAAGATAGCTTTGTGAAAAACAAACACTTTTAGGAATATGATTGTGATAACAGAGTACTTCTCTAATTAATCCAGCCCGGTGTTACTGTTGGCCAAGGCAGGCCAATTAATATGCAGGATAAATGGAATGGAGCGTTAACTATAATCTGAAGACTTTGGAGCACACAGGTATCAAAATAGAAGCAGAGCACGGTGTCGGGTGCTTATTGGTGGGGCCTGAGTGTCCAAATGAGCAGTTGTTCCAGTGGCTTCTACACATGTAGACATGCTCCTTGTATGTCTAGAGCACCATCACATGCCAAGCCTCTAAACGTTCCATGGCCACGTGGTTAACACTGGAAGGCATTGAAATTCCCTCAGAATCTATTGGGACTTCATAAATCTGTTTCATATACTTCTTCTGTCATTCACAAAGCTGAAAATTATTTTTTTCCACCTTCTTTAAACACAAAATATAATCACTGCTGTTTATTGAGAGCTGTGTACGAGGGAGTGGCATAGGGGAGCCCTTCACATGCTTTACTTCCTTTGACCCTAATAGAACCTCAGTGGTAGGTAGTGTTTTTCCCCATTTTATAGTTGGGAATAACGAGGCTCCGTGAGATGAAGGGACTTTCCCCAAACCAGGATGCTGACTAGGTCCATCTGATGCCAAAGTCCCTGCTCTAGGCACGGCACGGTAGAGCCCGTAGAATAGTTTGGAAAACGCATCACTCGTGTCCGCTCTGGAGCCGTACCTCCTGCAGGGAGCTTCGGTGATTAGGGATGGAGCCAGAGAACACAAACCTAACAATGCTGCAAGCCAGGACAGTAGTCCATTTGCTAAATCTCAGGACCCAGAGCCCGTGGGCGATAAGCGTTGTCTCTCCGAACACCTCTTTATAACCCGGCTGTCTTTTCCATTCTAGTCTAAAATCCATGCCGCACGAAGCCTGAGTGAGATCGCCATTGACCTGACCGAGACGGGCACTCTGAAGACCTCCAAGTTGGCCAACATGGGGAGCAAGGGGAAGATCATCAGTGGCAGCAGCGGGAGCCTCCTGTCGTCAGGTAAGTGGACTTTTGTTGGAGAGCCGCCGTGCGGGGAGCGGGGAAGAGGCTCTGGCTGAGGGTGGCTTCCATCCCACAGTGGCTCCGGGGAAGGTCCGAGAGTGGCAGCCGCTGAGGACGCAGCTTGGCAGGCTCACAAGGAGCTGGCTCTGGTTGTGAGACCAAGGTTTTGAGCCAAATAGGAATCTGAGAAAACCGCCAGAAGTGCCAAAGGGGGGCAGGGAATAAGAAGCAGCAGAACCATGCCGTGTGGGAAGGACTGTTGGCGCCATACCTCTCCTCAGGCACCCTCCAGAGCCTTCTGAATGCTGAAGGCCAGCTGTCAGGAATGTCAAGTCCAAGGACGAGGTGGAGTTGGTTCACTTGTGTGTCCTTCAACAAGAATTAAACTAAGGAGGGGCTGAAGGCAGGCTCATGGTGTTGAGCAACACTGCATCCTATTCGCAGGGGAACTCTTCAAGACTTTAGAAGGTACAGAAACTCTTGGCCTTCGGCAAGGAGAGTCTTCGTCACGGAATGCGGTGTAGCAGTTAAGCGCCTTTTGCAGCTGAGTCCAAGGCTCTGATTCCAAGCTTGTTTCTGTTTCTAAGAGCCCTGGGCAAGTCATTTTGTCACTGAATGCAGGAGGGGCGGACAAGCTCTGAGGATTCAGAGGAGGCTGATGTCTAGAATAGGGAGGCCATTTGCTGCAGTGACAGGAAGAGGGGGAGGTTTGAGGAGCGCAGGAAGAGGGAGGAAGGCGATCATTGTTTGGACATGTTAGAAAGTATAACTGATGCAGGTCACTCCCCAGGCTGCACCATCAAAAGCTGATTGTTCCTGGGGACGGTGTACCCTTGCCTCCGAGCCATGAAAGGGAAGCAAAAAGTCTCCGTTTGCCCTCCCTCATCTTCCAGAGTGCTTGCTCTTTCTTCTTTCTTTTTCTTTTTATTTTTAAGATTTCCTACCTGCCCTAGCATTCTAGGAGCTGTTTCTGAATATTACGCCCTTAGCGTCACCTTTGTTCTGCCCCTGTTGGAGCATCCCTCCGTCTGTGATGGCCCCGCCCCATGCGGTCCACGGAGGCCCCGCCCCGCCCCGCCCTTCACACCCAGCCTTGCCTTCTCTGCTGCCCTTTCTTCCACCCGCTGCTGACGGGGGAGCCAGCACACCTTCATTCACAGAGGCATCCTGCCTGCCCGGATTTTGCCTCCTGCCTCCATCGGCTTGGTCTAGATTCTTCTACGCCTCACTGCCCTTCCTCTTTGTTGCACCTTCCCTATTGTGTTTCTCTCCTAGTTTTTCATTGTTTTTCTTTTCCCCTGGCGCTTCCGTGGTTGTAAAAGGATGGAAGTGAAAATATCACCAAAGAGAAACAAGTAAGCAAACATGAGCAGTGGAAAGTGATGTCTTCATAGCAATAAAATCCCGTCGGTCCCCGGGGTCTTTCCTAGAACCACGTCTAGTGACTGCACACAGCAGCAGTGGGAGGAGAGGGAGAAGGGGAAGAGCCTGCAGAGGAGAGAGGCTGAAGCGTCTAGGTAGCTCCTAGGCGGCCCGAATGCAGTCAGAGCCAGGAGAAAACATAGACCCCCAAGGACGAGGGGAGGACGTGCCCCTCCAGGACCAGGAGGCCCGTTTACTGGGGGGCTAATGGAGCTTCAGCTCAGGGGCCCACACCGTGCAGGCCGTGCAGAGGCCCTGGGAGGGCCCATGTGTTTCTGTGAACATGACACATTTTGCATTCTTTTCTTTTTTACCTTGAAGTGCAGTTGACACACGTTACATGAGTTTCGGGCGTACAACACAGGGATTCGTCATCTGTGGCATGCTCTGCTCCCTGCAGGTGTAGGTCACGTCTGTCACCCTCTGACACTAATACCGGATCATCCACTGTACTCCCTGTGCTGTCTCTTGCATCCCTGGGACTTACTCATTCCGTCACTGGGAGCCTGGACCTCCCACTCCCCTCCACCCGATTTGCCCCTCTCTCTGGCCCCCTCCCCTCTGGTGACCACCAGCTCTCTGTATTTTTTGATCTGTTTCTGCTTTTTGTTTGTTCGTTTGATTTTTAGCTTCCACATATAAGCGAAATCATATGGTATTTGTTTTTCGGACTTCTTTCATTTAGCATAGGACCCCCTAAGTCCATCCATGTTGTCATAAATGGCAAGAGCTCATTCTTTTTTGTGGCTGATACTCCATTGTGTTTATATACACCGTCTTTATCCATTCATCCATCAGTGGACACTTAAGGTGATTCCATATCTTGGCTATTGTAATAATTGCATTCTTTTCCTTAAATGAAGCCACTAATATAAGCTTCATGCCCCACAAAACCTGGATCTCCCTCTGCCAGGTCACCTTAGAGTTTACCATAAACCCCTCCCTGCCTCAGATTCTTCAGAATGTTTTCATTAGCACAGTGAACCAAACGATCGTTATTTCTGAGACCTTAAGGTTTACAGTGAAAGTTGTAGAGAATGTTGCTGTCTTGTATTGAAGAGGATGTCATACAAAGCCCCAGATCCCTGCCTCAAATTACAGCCACTCTCAACCCCCTGCTGAGTGGCAGAGGGCAGAGCCAGCACCAACCCCTGTGTTTGTAGTCTAGACGCTTCTAACCCTTGTTAAAGCCCAGAGTCTGAGATTCGAGTCTGGATTTATCTGCCAACGGTTCTCCTCCTCCAGCCACACATGAGCCCAGCTCATCCTTCAGGCTTGGCGAGGTGTGCGTCCCTGCCGTGGTTTCATATCCATTTGGGAATCTGGGTACTTTCCCAAAGGAGTTCTGGGTTCTATCCCAAAGGAGAATGGATTCTTGCAGCCCAGGGCTTCTCAAACTTCTAGGCGCATCAGAATCACTTGGAGGGCAGTTCAAACACAGAGTTGAGCTCCAGCCCCAGGGTGTCTAACTCTGCGGGTCTGGGGATGAGCCTGAGAATTAGCATTTGTAACAAGTTCCTAAGAGATGCTGATGCAGCTGGTCTGGGGACCACACCTTGAGCCACTCTTCCCGCTGAGGAAGAGATAAAAGCCTGAGGTGACAGGGTTGCTCAGTGTCTTCCAGACCTGTGTCTTGGGTCGTCTCCTCTGGCCACTCCTATTTGTCAGCCTCTGGGGGCACCATGCCAGTAACCTAACAGAGCCACGGACCCGGTTGTGCATGGGAACCCCAAACCTCCTGACCTAGAACGGACATCACTCAGTCATCAGCAAGTGAGATCTAGGCATCTTCAGGATTAGAAAGCAGTTCATCTGTGCGACTGCCACCAGCCTGCTAGAACAGAATAATAGAATATCATCAAATAAGGCATCTTTATACAAGACATTAAAGTGATTTTCAAATGGGTGATAATTTCGCTTCAGGGGCCCCAGGCTGAGCTGTTTGGGAGTTGCTGGAAGCAGCTAAAGACCTCTCCTGCCACACTTTCAGAGGGGCAACATCCATGGCCCCTGAACCCTGGGTTCTTTCCTTGCCCACCCTCTGCTGCACCACTGTGCAAGAGGAAAGCCCCAGGAGATGAGAAGCCCAGAAAGCAGGAGCCATGCCCCATGACCAGACCAGGTAGCAGCTCAAACCCTCCCCAGTCCTGCCAGCCAGAGCCTGAGGCTAAGGCTGAGGGTCCATGGGGTGGCCTCCCTCCAGTGACTTAGGAAAACCATGCAGGGAGAGATCCCAAACAGGAAAGAATAGAGGCCGTCAGTTAACAAAGGGAATTTCAAGTGTCCACAGATCTGGCCCTCTTGTCTTCTGCCCTCACCTGGGGCACGCCCTCTGCAGCCCCACCTGGGAGGGAGGGTTTCCTGTCCCCCACAGTGAGGACATCTAGCTGGCTTAAATGGCTCCGCAGCTGGCTGGTGTCCCACTCTGTTCTTTTTGTCCTTTGGTGTCCTCTTGCCTGTTTCTTGAGAATTCCTTAGTGATGTCCTCCCACAGATGGACGAGGCATTGCTCTTCCAGGAAAGCCCTGATTTTAAACACTCTTTTTATTACACTTGCCAGACCCCATGTTCTGCTTTTCATTTAGAAAATAACGATGCATCTAATTCAGTATCCTATTTGGTCACATGGTCTCTCTCCTTCACCTGTCGCCTTATGCTAAGAAAGAAAAAGAGAGAGAAGGAAAGACAAAAAAGGTGTCTAATAAATACTCCTTAAAAATATTTTGAGATGTGAATTCTCATTTTAAAATCCCTTTTTCAGGGGTGCCTGGGTGGCTCAGTCAGTTGTGCGTCTGACTCTTGGACTCAGCTCAGGTCCTGATCTCAGGGTCATGAGTTCGAGCCCTGTGTTGGACTCTGCTTTGGGCATGAAGCCTACTTAAAAGAAAAAAGAAAATTCTTTTTTCTGCTTCTAGGCCAGTGCCTGAAATCCAGTAGATACTGCAAACATGATTTTAAAAATGTTTTTTAACATTACATTTCCATGACTTATTTATAACTGGAAAATAGTACCTTTTGAACCCCTTCACCTGTCTCCCCCAGCCCCTGTCTCTGGCAGCCACCGATCTGTTCTATGTATCTATGAGCTTCAGTTTTTTGGGTTTGTGTTTTTTAAGTTCCACATATAAGTGAGATTATATGTACGGTATTTGTTTCTCTCCATCTGACTTACTTCACTTAACACAATGCCCTCAGGGTCCATCTGTGTTGTCCCAAACAGCAAGATTTCATCCTTTTTTATGGCTGAATAATACTCCATTACATGTATATGCTACATCTTTTTCATCCATTCATTGGTGGGGTGTCTCCATACCTTGGCTGTTATAAATAATGCTGCAGTGAATGGAGGGGTACGTGTATCTTTTTGAATTCGTGTTTTCATTCTCTCCGGATGAATGCCCAGAAGTGGAATGCTAGATCATATGGCAGTTTTGTTCTTAATTTTTTTGAGGAACCTTCATACTGTTTCCACAGTGGCTGCACCAGTTTGCATTCCCACCAACGGTGCACGGGGGTTCCTTTTTCTCTACATCTTTGCCAGCACTTGTTATTTCTTGTCTTTTTGATTCTAGCCA